GTTGCATTTGTGTGCATTTTCTACTTTTTAAGAATAAGCACATTACTTTTCATACCGACCTACCCATTTTTTTTATTTTCACAAAACGTGGCCAACACAAGATTCTATTTTTTTTTGGAGCCCTATCCTTTTTTTAATCAAAACACATCTTTTTAGTTACCATATTTGTTAGGCAATTTAATGTACAACATATCAGTTTTTTCCCCTTCGGAGCCTCGCTTTAACTTAGATTGGCAATTTCTTTTTACTCCAACAAGCTGAAGTCGCATTGGACAATGGGAGTTCATGGAATTCCCCTAGTAAGGGGGGGGGGGTAGTGGGGTGTCTTAAAAAAATTTATTTCTTAACAATAATGAACAAATGGATGACTCCTATTTAAGCCCTGTTGAGACTCTCAAATTTCATTTGATAAAAAACTGTTGTATGCCCATATATGATCAGGGGCAGATCCAGAGAATTTCTGATGGGGTGGGAGGGGGAGAAACTCAGCCCCACCATGGCTGGGGTAAATAAGTGTTAAATAATTGAGCTCTCCTTTCACCCACTGCTAGAACACCACTAAACTCATGGGTGCACTCCCTGCATTTCCTATTTCCTCTCTTTAGCTAAAATTTTCTCCCTCTTTTTTATTTTTCGGCTTGACTGACGGGGGGAGGGGGCACGGGCCCTCATTCCCCTTCCCCCCCCTCCCCCCCCCCCCACTGGATCCACCACTGCATGGTGCACTATATTATTAGGCACATGTTTTTGTCAAATAAAAATTTGATAGTCTGCATAGGGCTTTACAGGCCTAGGAAGTACATACCAGATTTGGAACAATAGACACCCATGTATCCAGTAAGACCTGAAGTCGACTATGATGAAATTTCTTGGTTGTTTTCACAGCGAGGAAGACATCATCTAAATTCTGCATAGCGGCAACTTCTGCAGGTGATTGGGAAAGGGAATTTCCATCTATTGGAACAATATCATCCCGCTTTTCACGCTTTAATTCCAAGGAATTCTGCTCAACTTGAACAGGTTGTACCCCATCGTTTTTTAGTTTTACGTAATTCACATAAACAGGTTGATTTTGACGTTCCTTCGCTGCAAGTATATGCTTAAGTATGATCTTGTTTTCTAAAGATAAATCATTACAGCAACAATTTTAGGAAATTTCTGAAATTTAATAGTACTTTAATATTTCATGCTATAAAGGTCTCTAAATTCATCCCCTACCCTTCCATAAGCATCGGATTAGTAAATCTGTACAAAAAAAAATTCGTCAAACTTACCCGAGGCACTCATTTCTTCCAGTGGTATTTTGCCTCCAAGGTCTGCGATTTCGAACGCTGAGTTCTTAGAGGCTTGATTGTCCACAAGTTTCAATTCAGTTTTATCTACATTTTGATTAGTTCTTACTAATGTAGGCGTATTATTAATTCCTTTAGCATGAGAGAAGGATTGTGCTTTTAATGCTGTGCGTTTATTACCAAGGGGTTGTAAATCACCTTTGTAATTCGTTTTAACCCCAGATTCGTTTCCTTGTTTTGCGTTTTCGAACCATCGTGGATCTAAATTTACTTTATCCGACGGTGCATTTTGCTGATATGTTTGGCTATTATTGCTTAATTGTTCGTCACTAATAATATTAGGTCTATCGTCCGCAAATAAAACTCGCCTTGGTTCTTCCTCCTGGCTTCTGTACTCCTTTATAAGTCGCTCAAAGTGCGGTTCATTCATAAAGTACGGTCTATCATGTTGATTCAAATCGACAAGGTCGATGTTACGCGAAGCCGAATGGAAGACCCCCGTTTGAGCGTCACGATTTGTAGACACATAAATGCATAAAATAACAGAATCTACGATACATACTGAACAAATATAGGCAAGTACTTTCTTAATAGTAATTCGCATGCTTCTAGCCCTTCTGTAACCTCATCTCCAGCACGCTCGCACGCAAGGAATCCAGCGACCGACTGAAAATATACAGAGCTTTAGTTCTTGTGAACAGTACCTGGCACTCAGTAAGGGAAATTGATAAAGTGACACGATCTGTGATTGGTTGATCAAATACAACATAGCCAACGATGCGTATCGTTTGCAGTGCAGATATCCGATTGGTTATTTATTGTAATTGACACTTCGAAACGTCTCTTCATACGTCCAATAAAGTTTCTAGGAGGCGTGGCATTAAAGTTGGTCTCCGACTTGTATACTAGAACTTACGTACTCTATTTGCAACACCATCATACATTACTGTACAAAACGATTTATATTCCAGACTTATGAACACAATACAAATAAATTACAGGTACTCCTTTTTAATGTTGTTTTTCCAAATAAATTGGTCATTTTATTTACATATACAACTTGAAACAGGCAACACATCAAACATATACAGACTAAGTAAAACAAGTAATCTCTTTTGCCAATTTCCCAACAGATACATACAGTACAATAATGTACTTTTTTATATGCAAGGAAGGTAAACAGGCTTCTGTAAGTTACTTCCAAAGTAAAAAAGATTAATTCAATTTTCATTGTTTTACAGACTGGATACACTGTACAAACAACATTAAAATAATTGCCTCAGAAAAATATGCATATTCAGGTCTCCCTCCAATTAAAGACTGCTTTTGGGACTGGGGTTTCCATGGTCTTTACCAGCTTTGGTCTCCAGAATATTAAAAATTTAAAAAAAAACATTTGTTAATTTGGACCGCAGAAGAGTGGTCATTAATTCCAGGTGGTCTTTAATTGGAGGGAGATCTGTATTAATTGAGAAGGAAATATTTTCTCTGTTTTATTTTCCAATTGAAGACAATTTTAAATATACAAAGAAAATGTTAATTAGCATAGCAAACGCAGATTATCTTAAAATATAACTTCATTATTCAAAATTTGTTTTTACTCCTTTACATTTGTTTTTTTTTACCCCTTTAAAACATCAGATATTAGACCATATTGAATTGTATTTCACTAAATATAAACAACACTCGCACTTCTAACAGAGTTTACAGATACATTTTGATAGTTTTCATTTACATTGACTTTTTGTATTTTACTTTAATTAATAATAATCCTAATAATTAAACATTACTAATAAACATATTATAACATTAATTGTTATACTAAATAACATCACAAAATCAAAATCGCAAGAATAATTTATTTCAATAATAGGCAAGCATTAACACTCAACAGAAGGCGATTGTATTTTAACAATTACTATAATAATAATAATAATAACAACAATAATAATAATAATAATAATTTAATAATATAAAAACAATACTACTTCTAAATCATACATTACTGTACAAAAGTTATTTTGAATCTTGTTGAATTTTGAATATAGAAAAAATTTTAAAAATCTATGGAGGATTAATTTGTTTCTTTCATAATTATTTTTATAATTGAAAGCAAAAAAAAAGTAGTTCCCAGTAAAATATCAAAAACAATAAAATTATAAATAAGACATAACAGATAGAGTATGTTAATTTGTAAAATTATGTAAAAATCGGCAGAAAATAAACAACACAAACC